GGATTTTCAACCCCACCATTAGTTACGTGCGTCTAAAATGCAGTCCTTTAAACAAAGATTTATAAATACATTTTTGCAATATCACAATATCAAATAAGCTTCATATGGCGTATGTGCTTTTTTTAGTACTTATAGTAATTATGCAAGCCTTATATACTAGCCATGCATTGCATGATAAAGTTATTGTTATCCATTATTTGAAGTTAAATGCTGCTTCAATGTCTTCAATATTTTCTTTTTCACAGGCTTCAATACCTTTTCAAATTTGATCGTCCATTTGATATCCTTGACAACATGGAGGTTCTACAAAAAATGGATTCAAGCAACATGAAGTCTWGGGACATGGCTTCCAACATACCAACCACATCTGATGGGCATGATGAASAGCTCACCRCGAATTTGACCACTTCATTTGAGCGTATTTCAGTTCTGTAGTTTAATTCGTATTGGAAACGTGTAGTGCGAAATTATTAATAAAATTATTGTTGTTGTTGTTGTTGTTGTACAACCGTCTGAGAAATGAAAGGGGTTGGAAAAATAAAAAATATATACATATCAAAAAAATAAAATGAATGTGTCTATAATAGAATTTACAATCACCAAAAAACGMCTTTGTAAACATGCCGGGTTAAACAGGGCCGTAGCCAACAATTTTCTGTTGGTTCGGTTTTTGGAAAATAGGTGTGCTTATTTATTTACATGTAGTATTGATCTATCATATTCTCGTAATACAATTGGTACTACTATAATGATCYCACAAAAGAACTGTKKGCAAAAAGCTGTTCAACAGTCTACATTGGAGAAACAAAAAGAACATTGAGAACTATAGAGTATCAGAGCATGAAAGAAATGTAAGGCTGGGACACACGGAAATTTCTGCGTTATCTGAGCATGCGAATAAATTAGATTACTGCATTAATTGGAACGGTGTTTCAATTTTAAAGCACGAAGGGCGATGGCACTAGAAGTGGCTCGAGTCAGCATTAATCGCCAAGAACGGAAATAAGGAAGATGAGAATGTATTATCAAATAGGGACAATGGTAGAACCGTTACCAGATAGCTATATACGATTAARATATCGTTTTAATTTTTTTCTTCTTTCCCTTTGTTTTTCATTCCTTATCATTGTAATTAGTGTGCGCTCTTTTCATGTTATGCCTTTGCTAATTTCCTCTCGAGCACTTTACCGTTAGCTATGTATATTACTTGTACCAACAAACTTGAAAATGGCGACTTAGGCCGAAAGCTTGGTTTGAAGATTAAAAATCTTAGATACGCAGAAGAAGCTGCAGTATTCATTTATAAACAAATGCCTGCGTACAAAGAAATTCTGAAAATCGCGAATTGTTTCTATAAAACTCAGAGTTTGAATGTTGCGAAGGTACATTTTCTTCTCCACTTCTTTAGAATGTATTCATTTGCAGATTTTAAATCTAGATTATCTGTAACACTTCGGTGGTAATGCAATGTCATGGTAYTTCTGAAACATGACTTCATGCTACGACTCACAGTACACTAAGCGATTGCTCAGATGTTGCATTTGTTCATGGCAAAACATTCACTAGGCAACTTAACTTGCAAGAAAAGATTGTCGAAGCGAGRATTCATTGGTAGCATTGTTGTRTTTCTTAGAATAGCATTTCTACATGGTTACACGAGTCGATTCTTGTCTTTCTATTGTTAACAGTTAGAATAAACAAA